TCTGACATTTGGAAAAAAGAATAATATACATACATTTCTGAGCAGTATTACTGGAAAAGCTACTCTCGGTGACTGAATTTTAATCATCTATATAGAGACTTCAGTTTTTCCATCCTGGTCCTGAAGACCCAGAAAGTATTCCTCGCAAGCTGCACTGCCTCAAATTTTTCTGAGTCTTTGCATTTTCTAAAGGATTTCTACATGTATTATAATATTTAGGTATCACACAGGGTGACCAAGGTACCAATTTGTCCAGGACTGTCCTGGTTTTAGCACTGAAAGTCCTCTGACCCTAGGAAACCCTTCAGTCCTGGACAAATTGGGATGTTTTTACTGTAGCACAGCAACCTCATGAATTAGAGAGGGAAGAGTTTATGTCCATTTCATATATCTTAAAAATGAGGTAAAGTAAGGTTGTATTATATCACTTCCCCGAAGTCACAGAATATGTCTTTTTATGCTGGTCCAGTTCTTTATCTACTGAAATCTACACTATTAATCTTTCTCTGGGGCTCTGGGCTCTTCACAGGCAGAAATTTTATCTTATTTATCTCTGTACCCCCACCCTGGGACTGCCCCAGTGTCTGAGGAGGCTCTCCACAAATGTTTCCACATACCTGTTGAAATAAACACAATGTTAAAATATTGGGGGTATGGCTTTTCTTTCTAAGACCTACAGTATAATTAAAGAGGATCAAAGTGAAACACTACAAAAAACTGAACTGAAGGGAAAAGTTTTCACCCCGTTGGGTCTTCATCTTGCCTCTCCTACCAGCAGGCTCCACTGTCTGACTGCTGCATTTCTTACAAGAGCTGTTATCAACCTCTTCTAGATGTTATGCTTTTAATTCTCCATATTAAGTATATCAAATCCAGTCACTTGTGTCTTGAGAATTTCTCTCATTTCACATCCGTATCTTCATCCTTACTGCTGAATTCTCATATGAGACCTTATTTTGCACCCTCCCTCCATTTCTGCCTTCATTTCCAGACTCATCTTCCTAAAATCTTCCCTGCTATGTCACTTTCCTACTCATGAACTCACAATGGCTTCTGATTACTTACCAAACTGTTGAGATTGTCTTTTTGTCACCCAAACTCCCTAAAAATCTTCTCCTGACGTACTTGATCTTACTTCCCATTCCTCTTGAAGTAAGCCTTCTATTGAAATCAAGACTCTTCCTCTGAATACTCTCATCCTGCCTCTGAGCTTGAAATATTTATGAAGCAGCTGATAAATAGTTGGAAAAATAGATATGAGACCAGAGAGACTAGGAGCTGGCTCTACTGCAAGTGGTGGGTACTTGAGGTCATTGGAGCAGATGAGATCACCCAAGCTGAATGTCTAAACCACAACTCACAAAGAGGTGGCCCTTGATCTGAGTTCAATTTCTATTAGGCCCCCAAATAATTTTAAAAAGAAACATTGAAGTAGTCTTTAATATTTTCAAACATAGCCTTTTATATAAAAAACATATTTCCAGATTTTTTTTGAAAGAGTTTTAGATCTGGTCACCTGCGACCAGGCCTTTCACCTGGCCACAATTAGCTAGACATGGTTTGTATTTGAAGTGAACTCCATGATCATCAAGATCACACAAGGTCTCCTTTACCCTTCCTCTTCTATACTTGGAATCTGTGACCTCTTGTGTAAAGGCAGTAGAAGAGAGAAGAAGGGTGGAGAAAGAAGTCAAAGAAAAAGGGGAAGAAAGAGAGAGAAAAGGAGAAAATGGGATTGGAGAACCATAGAAAGAAGTGAAGAAACCCAAGAAATGTCAGATGCACAGGCTTTACTGCAAAGCTCAGCGTGTGAAGGAAGGAATCAGACATTTAAACTGGGCCAGGAGTAAAATTCCACTGAAAAGGAGAAAGAATGATCACATCCAAGATGACATTGAAACACATGGTCCAGCTGAGTGGCTATGAAATCAGAGCCCATCTGAAATACACACATCCCATTACCTTTGTTGGTCCCCACCTGTGAAGTCTTCAGGCATGTCAGGCATCAATTTGCATATCAGTGCCTGCCATTAGCAGTATGCTGTCTTTCATTCCTGCACATAACGCTCATTCAGTGTCAAAACCAGCACCTTCACACCAGGCCTTTCCCTTTGTCCACATGCTTGCCTGCTGTGACCACAGTCAGAAAATCAGATCAGCTTAAATGAAGGTAAAAATTAAATCTGCAATGGAAATATTGTCTCCTCCACTATCCACTCAGGTGGCTCCTCCAATTATGTCAATAACTTTCCTTCCCAGGAGGTGACCTTCAGTGCACAATGGCTGCCACAGTCATGTCCATGTATACAATGAGATATTTCAGTATGCTCACAGACTCAAAATCTAGGTTTTTTTGTGACACTGCAGGCTTTTTGCAAGTTTCAGAAAAGTGTCAAGAGAGCAAGTGATTTGGACTGTATAATGTACAGGTGCAACAAGGCGATGCTATCATACAAGCCAAGAGTTAAGACATAAAATAAATCCTGCTTCAGGATAAAGTGGAAGAGTGACTGGGCTCTCTAACTCGTGTTTCTTGGCACAAGGCCTTCATTAAATAAACCCCTAAGAAATGATGGATTGGACAAGTAGAATTGCAAACTGGATACACTGCCTACTGTTTAAGAGATAAACAGAGTTTTCATTACCTATTTTATCCTCTAAATTTTACAGTTTGCCATTTCCGACAGCCTCTGACAAGCTCTCTTATTAGCCTAACAGGAATAATCTTGATAAACAAGTGAATATGGTTCGATCCTTTCGGGCTGTTTGCCTAAAATCTGGATTCATTGATCCGCGCCCACGCTTAGATGGGAGGTGCTGACTGTTGTAATCTACATGTAATAGGCATTATGAGATTTAAGAAAAATAGCTCGGCTGCAGTTGAGTCAGTTTAGGACAGATCATTATAAAATTCCATTATCACCGCTACAAGTTGGACTATTTGTCATCACAGAAGAGATGACAAGCTCAGAAATACTACATTTGTTATTATCAGATGATAAATGATATTCCATTAAAGCCGCAATACATCATCGGCAAAACTGCAAAGAAGATATCAAACCTATCAGGACTTGACTTATAATTTAATTTTCAAAAGCTGTCAACTAAAATTCCAAAGGCTAAGCATTTTCATTTTTAAAGTTCATCTTATTTATTTTCCTCATCTGTTAGTCTAATTTCGGTGATATGGCAAAAATAACTGATTATGTGCAATGTATAATTCTCTTCTTTTGATTAGGTAATATATCAGGTGTCACTTAGGTATTAAAAATTAAATGACAGATAATAAAACAAGAGAGTTCTGTAAAACACATCTTATTTTGATTTACTCACGTTTTGAAATATAACAGTAAAGGACAGGTCAATATTTGTTAAGGGCACACGCATGCTACAAAAAAGCATATTTCCCCATTATTAAGCACTCTTTCATGTCATCTACAGAGGAGCTAAACATGCTTTTCTATTTGGTGTTTATAAAATCTTTTCACAGATGGACAACCATTCTTTAGTTTAATTCTATAAATCACAATCATATATTCCTCCTATATGTGCAAGTGTTCATGATTTTTCTGTTATTTTCATCACTACCAAGAATAAGCACTCAAATGCTGACTGGGACAGGAACAATTCTTGTCGGTTTTTACTGGCACGAACATAAAGACACAACCTTTCAATTTATGTGTGTCTTGCTCACACCCACAGACTTGTAGACATATTCGAAAATATTTGGACCACCTGAGACTAGCTATATGAAAAGAATCAGCACATTTGGGAGCTGGAGTGCAAATTTGAGATCACCTGACAGGCTCAGAGAAGAGAAGGAACTTGCCTAAAGTCACAGAGCATGTAAAAATGATTGGAGAAGAAGCCATGATCTGGCATGCCTGTTCTAATTAATTCACTATTACACCATGCTGATTTACGGAGTCTTATGAAAAACGTGACTCTTAATACTTAGTTTTTGGCTAAAAGTCTGGCTTATAGTTGGTACTCCTTAAAGATATTTTAATAAAGTGGACATACAGATGGATAGATAGATAGATAGATATGGATGGATAGATAGATGGATGGGTGGGTGGATGGATGGATGGATGGGTGGATGAATGGATGAATGAATAATTGCCTACTTCTCTAATCCACTACGTGAAGGTCTTGTTTATATAAATAAAACCTCCAGAGCCTAACCCAGTCTCACCTTTTAAAAATGTAGCATGTAAGATGTTTTTCACAGAGACTGTGCCCGCTGCCTCTCAGGTCTTGTAGAGCACTCCAAGGTACTCTAAAAAAGAAAGGGAAGTCTCTCTGCCCAACATTGAGTCAAGCACAATTATATGGCTTCAAGCCATACAGGGAAGCAAAGGAGCTGATGCTCAGATGCACCTTCTACTACTCAGGGATAGTGATGCAACCACATGTTCAAATAGGTGAAGCTGTAGTTACATCTCACTGGCCCTGTGAGCTACTGGGGATGCCACACCTCTGTGACACAGCACCATAGAGGCAAAATGGGAAAAAGAAGGGAAATAGAATGAGTTTTCCAATAATCAAATGAATTCAATTCAAAGCAGGAGAATTCTCCTACTCTCCTTCTCCTTCTCCTTCTCCTCCTCCTCCTCCTCCTCCTCCTCCTCCTCCTCCTCCTCCTCCTCCTTCTTCTTCTTCTTCATCCTCCTCCTCTTCATTCTTATTCTCCTTTTCCTCCTCCATCTGCTCCTCCCCCTCTGTCTTCTTCTCTGTGGTAAAATATACATAATATAAAATTCATTATTTTAACCATTTTGTAAGAATTCAGTGACATTAATTACATTTTCAGTGCTGTGCAACCATTGTCACTATTTTCAAAACTTTTCATCATGCCAAGCAGAAATTCTGCACCTATTAAACATTAAGTCCTCATTTCCCCTCTCCCAAGTCCTTGAGAACCTTGAATCTATTTTCTGTCTCTATGAATCTGCCTATTTTATACATTTCATATAAGTGAGATTATATATTTGCTCTTTTGTGAAAAGGACTGTCTTTTTAACTATTAAAGTGATATACATTTAGTGCAAATAAATGAAGCAATATAATAATTCAGAGTAAGAAATAAAGGTCTCAAACTTATCTTGCCCCCCTCCCTCCAGTCCATCCCTTCTCTTCAGATGTAACCTCTGACAACAGTGGTGTGTGTTCGTCCCTGTGCTTTTCTGGGCTTGGACACTTAAGTTATATAAAGTCTTCTAGAACAGGCTCTGGAATCAGACTACCTGAATGTGTGATGCTGGGAAAGTTGTTTAACATTTCTAAGCCTCAATTTTTGCATTTATAAAATGACATGGACAACAACTCCACTCCCTCAGCACTGTGAGCATGAAAGGAAATAAGGGTTTTGGGTTTGTTTTTTTTTAACATTTTGATGCTGTTGTGTTTTTCTGTGAGATGGAATCTTGCTCTGTTGCCCAGGTTGGAGTGCTGTGGTGTGATCTTGGCTCGCTATAATCTCTACCTCCCAGGTTCAAGGGATTCTCCTGCCTCAGCCTCCTGAGCAGCTTGGACTACTTAGCCACTACACTAGCTAATTTATTTTTATTTTTAGTAGAGACAGAGTTTCACCACATTGGCCAGGCTGGTCTCAAACTCCTGACCTCAGATAATCCACCTGCCTTGTACTCCCAAAGTACTGGGATTAAAAGGACCAGCCATCATGCCCAGGCAAGTTAAGGGTTTTAAAAGCACTTTGCACAGTGCCAGGTAAACACTAATAACTTACCAAATGGTAGCTACGTATTATATGGAACTTTGGTTTCTAAAAGCAAAAATGTGATCACATTATTCATGTTGTTCTCCAACTTGCTTTTCAAACTCATTCCTTATTGGCACACATATGCCCACCTCATGCTTTCTTAACTGTTGTATAATCTTAAAGCTCTATAATTTGTTTGCAAATACATCCTTCTGGTATTTTAATTTTGTTTTATAAAATTACTGAAGCTTGGAATTCTGGAGCCAACATGCTCCCAGGTAGGTCAACACAACTTGAAGATTCTAAAAATAATGATAAAAAGAAGAAGATGAATCATTTAATGAACTCCAACTATGTTCCAAGTATTGTGTTGGCGACTTATATGTCTCATTTCTGGCCCTCACCACACTGTTCTGCCTCTGTGGAAATGATGTCAAAGGTGAAGAGTCCTGTCTCCTGCCTGCAAGCTAGGGGATGTTTGTTGGCAGTTGGAGAATTTCACCATCCAGCAGCCTTTCACTGGGCCATGAACCATTTTCAGTGGAACCCATCAATCTTAGTGTGCTCTGTGTGTGTGTGTGTGCGCGTGTGTGTGTGAGAAGTTTTGGTCCAAGCAGTGGAGAAAAGAGGGTGGTGGAAAGATGGCTAGTGAACAGAAACTTGAGAAATATGAGTAAAGAGATACTCAGTGGGGAAACGGTGATGTCACGACCTCCTGAAGATGTTTCAGAGAAAGATGAGAGAGATGATTTCTTTCTTTCTCTAGTTTACCTTCTGGCTTCTGGGGGAAGCTGAGAAGCAGGGTCTTTTCTTATTAAATGAGTGAGATCTTACCCAGAAGCATAGGTGAAAGATAGGAAAGCTTTAAAGCCTCCTGCTGTATTCCCAAGCCCCTGTCTGGAAGAGATAAAGGGTGCCTGTAAAGAGGAAAGCTCAGGCTGTAGTTTCCTGGTACTTCAGAATGAAAGCTGCCCGTGTTGAATGCACAGAAGTTGGAGCAATCTCTATCCAATAACCCACAGGGTCCCAAGGAGACCCTGTCTAGTCAGGGAGAGAAAAAGCACATCTGCCATACCATGAAGTCTTGTCAACGAGGGTGGAGTTCCTACTCCATTGTCCTACTGTCCCCAAAGAACAGGTTGTTAGGCTATTATGTCAGCTGGGTGTGGCAATCTGACTATAGTTAAGTATGGTTTCACCTTCTGGGACTGGGCTGTCCACACACAAATAACTCACTGGTCCTTATAAAAAAAGAATTATCCTCTTATTTTTCAAGTACTAGATACTGAATTTAGATATTGTATTATTAATATATATCATTCATATATTAGATACTTAATTTAGATATTAGATTATTAATAGATACAAATATCTATTTGTATCTATTATGAATTATTGTATTAAAACAGTATTATTAGTATTCTAATTATTACTATATAATTGATAATTAATTAATATATAGTAATATTAGTATATTATATAGTATTATATAGTATATAATATATAACAATTATATAGTAATAATAATTATAATATTTCATATAATACTATAAGAAATAAAAATATTATAGTATATATAATTACTATATTACTACCTAATATCTATTAATATCTAAATTCAGACTCGTGACATATAGTTTTGTTGCGGTAGTCACTTTATAAAGTTTCCAAGCTTCATCTGTTTCTGATGAACAAAGATACTCTCCATATACAGGAACATTTTCCTGGAACGCTCAGGCCCAAGGAAAAAAAAATTCCCAGAGGCCCCTTTGTCAAGAGCTAGTTTTTAAAATTGCCTGGAACTCCATTTATTCTCTTATCTTCTTAAAATTCTTCCCAATTTTCCCAGCCATATTGAAGTTCCATTAACTCCATGAAATCTTCCCCACGTTATCCAATCCATGGATTTCTTCTTCTGTTTAATTCTCACAATTGCCACATTCTGGAGAACATTGTTGCAGCATTTATCCTTTCTCTATTAATATTACTTTTGCTGAATTATAAGTGCAGCAAAAACAGTGACGATTCATCATTTTCCTTCGACATCCATTACATGTTCTAGAATCATCTTGAGTGTATACACTGGTCTCAGTAAATATTTGTGGGTTCTAATCTCAAGTCAGTAATAAAAAAATCCCAACTTGTAAGAAAAAAAAAAATGCCCATTTTTTTCTTTTTCTTTCTTAACCCAATAATGAAATCCTTGGGAAAATATTTTTACATAAGAATCTTAATCTTGCCATGCCAATTTGAGAAAGGATATTCTTTATGTGGTGTCACTGGATTTGTGTCAGTTCTTATGACTTGAAATGAGATAGGTTAGTAAACATTTACAAGTTTTTCTCTGATCTCTAAACAGAGCCCTTTGGAAAGAGCAAACCCAAATGCTGGTAAACTTTAGATAACTTAGAGAGAGGAAAAGTCTGTCTAAAGCAGCATTTACCACATTTATTTAAGGAGTTATTTGTAAACAAAAAGGTTTTGATAGTCATGGAAGGCCTGAGAAATCATGATTAAATAAAATTATTTGTGTTTCTTCATTACAAAATTTCTCAGTACTTTTAGTATGCTAATAACTTCAAAGAAGGAAACATTTCCCAAACTTAGTGAAAAGCTCTTCATCTGAGCCCTCTCTGTGGAGTGTCTATGGGTCTATTATTTTGCAAGTCAGTTGTTTTTACCTCTGCTCACTCATCTGTCACTCATTTGGTACAAAGCCCTGCATGGAGGCCTTTTGACTAAGCACAAAGTTACCCAGATTTCTATCAAGACAGGAGTAATACTAGTTCCCATCCACTCCTCCCCGATCCTCCACCTTTGTAGAATCCTCTGTTGTAATAATGACAGTGTGTTTAGGAGATCATTGTTTGGCTAAAGTATTTCTTTTACTAAGCCGGTGTATTTTGAAAAAAAAAAAATATATATATATATATTTTATTTTTAAGAGATGGGCTTACTCTGTCACCCAGGCTGGAGTGCAGTAGTGTGATCATCACTCATTGCAGCTTCAAACACCTGGGCTCAAGAGATTCTCCCACCTCAGCCTCCCAAGTAGCTGGGACTACAGGCATGTGCCACCATGCTTGGCTCTGTAGATTGATTTTTTGATGGCATAGCAAATCCTATTTTTCAATTGTCATGATGGTATTTACACGTAGTAAATACGTCAATATGAAGTTATTATACAACAATCCATCCAGTAGGCATAAAAGACATGTGTTTAGGCCTGCCAAAAATGTAACTTATGCTCTCAGAACCAGCTCCCCAAGTATAGAACGGGGAAAAACGGTGATTAGGAGTTGACAGCCAAACAGTAAAAGCCTGCAGTTCTCCACTGAGTTTAAGGTAAATTTGTGTCAGTATAATATTGCTAAAAACAAACACAAATGATGGTTTCAGGCTAAATTAGCATGCTTATATGCAGAAATTAAATTACTTTTGCAGATCTCTCAGGTACTAGGCAAGAGGAGTGACTGCCCACCCTATGTTGGTCAGACAACTGACCTAGAGTTCTGCAATCAGTTATGAGTTCTATATTCTCAGAAGCCAAGTGACATTTGTCAAAGTATAAAGAGAAAAGTGAGGGCAATGAAAAGGAGATTGTACAGGGAGCATTAGATCTGGTACAATGTGGACATTTGTAAGGCTGTCAAGGGAGTTAGTTGCCTTCCCATCTCAGTTCTAAGTACAAGATCAGTGGGTAGATGCTATAGGCAGACAGCTTCTGACTACAAACAGGAAGATAGCTGATGGTCAGAGCCAAAAAAAGTTGAAGGCATGACCATGGCCTCTCACATTCGTAAACATCTCATCATGAAAGATATTTAAATAACTCCTTGGTCTCTAAATTTGAAAGTAGATTTAATCATAAGGTAAAGATGGAATCAAGGCCACCAGGAATGTATTTAAGGCCCAATGTAAAACTCTCTGCAGGTCCTCTAGCAAAGGCAGATGTGCCAAAAATGTTCACCCAGGCTCTGTTCTGGCAGAGTGGGAAATGTGTACTTGGTTCCCTCACTTCCTGTGTGCCCTGGATCAAAGGAACTTGCTCCAAGGTTCTGTCCCAGCTCTGAGGTCTTTTAATAAATATATAATAGACTCTTACCAGCTTGCCATGAGGTCATCTCGTCATGACCTCGAGGAAGTCCCGTCTTGTCTCTGAGCCCTGATTTACAACTCTGTGAACCAAAGACGTTGACTTAGATGAGCCAAAGATTCCCTTCTATTCTGATAGATTTCATAGACACACACGAAACAGGGCAGGAGAAGTGCTTAGAAACCTACTTATTTTAGCTAAAAAAGTTTAACTTTAGGAATCCTCCCTGAAAAATATGTTATTTTTTTCTTTTTTTGATGGTAAAGAGGGATTCAAGGAAATAACACACGTTAAGGAAGTTTATTTTTATTTAAATAAACAGAGTGAGACAGGGTCTCACTCTGCTCCCCAGGCTGGAGTGCAGTCGTGCAATCACAGCTCACTCCAGCCTAGACCTTCTGGGCTCCAGTGATCCTCCCACCTCAGCCTCCAAAGTAGCTGTGACCATAGGCTTGGGCCACCATGTCTGGCTAATTTTTGTAATTTCTTTTCTTTTTGGAGATGGGGTTTCTCCATGTTGCCCAGGTTGGTGTTGAACTCAAGAGCTCAAGTGTGCTGCCCACCTCAGCCTCCCAAAGTGCTGGGATTACAGGCATGAGCCGCCACACCCTGCCTCAGGGAAGCTTTACAAAGCAAGATGGAAAGGCTGGGTCTGGGGCCTGGAGAGCAGGATCTGAGCTCTTTGAAAGGACTTGGGGATGGAAGGAGGGCTTGGAAGGAGAACATTTCCCAGTCAGTCCCAGCAAGGGTCAGAGTCCACCAAACATAACCCAGAGGAAGTGAATAGAAGAAGTGGCATTCCCAAAGCCATTTCTGGGCTGCCTGCTAACCACAACAGGAAGCCTTCTCTGATAACCATCCCTCCTCTGTCTGAGTGCCATTGTGTGGTGTCTGTGTTACTGACACTGTTGTTCTTTCCAGGCTTCAGTCTCCCTAGCTGGACTAGACCATCACTCATGACCAGTTCCTACTCTCTACAACTCTTGGACGTGATGTGGAAGGCAAACCTTAAAGAAAAGTGGTGAGCTGGATTCTCTCTACCATCCACCTCAATGAAGAAACTCCAGACTTCACACCCACTCACCCATTGTAGCTGAGCTGAATGGTTCCCTGCCCATTTCAGAGACTTACCCCAAAGCTAACATGTCCAGAGCTTCCACCAGCAGATCCCGATGAGTCTACATTGGCCTGAGCTCAGGGCTAGCTGGAAATGGGAGCTAGTACCCTTCCAGAAGCAGCACTCTACCAATTTAGGAAAAGAGCTAGAGGAGGATGGACCAAGACTTCCTGGCCCTTTTGGTCTCCTCAGACTGGTTTCTTAGAGGGTTCCAACTGGAATTGAGCCTACTGATCCACGGCAATACCTCATGTGTAACATCCTTCATTGGCCTTTTCTCCTTCCCTATCATGTGAGACTCCCTAACAGTGCTCCCTTGAATTCGCTTCCAAATAAATTACCTGTACACAAGTCCCCAGCAAGTGGGCTACTTTTAGAAGGACCACAGGCTCAGATGGCCATTAAACTCTGCGAAGGCCATTTTGGCCCTTGCTGGGTGCAGCTTCATTGCTAAGTCCCCTTTCATGGAACTTACAAGGGAAAACAATGGCAGGGCCCCAGTGGAAGTGGCTGTGAAACCCATAGCCCTGGGCACCATGTTCATCCCCTCCCCCATCCCATGCATTCATCTCTGTCTTCTTTTTCAAATTTGATTTTAAATATTTACAGCATCATATATCTTCCCCCACCAGATATTACTAATGAACTGTTATTGTCTGCAAAACCTCCCAGATGAGTGATGGCCAACTTAAAAAGAGCATCAATGTTTTATTCGTAAAATAGAAGCTGGAAACAGAAAATGCTTATGCACTTTTATGCCTTTCATCATTATTATTATTGATACTCCAGTACAGAGGAGGCACTTGGGCAATTAGCAAAATCAAACAGAACTGAAAATTCTACACAGCAGCAATAAAAGTTATATAAATATGTACATGTTTACAAACGTTTAAATCAATAAGTAGGGCACATTTCAAGAAAATGTTAATGTTCAACCTGTACATTTCAAGAAAAATGTGGAATGCTAAATGCCTTTTCTGTGGGTGAATGTCTCATTGGCAAAGAAGAAACTCCAGACCCTGCACTGTCCTGCCAGACAGAGGGCAGTGCCACTGTCAATTTGTATTTCTTGATTGCAGCAAAACTTCAGAGACCCTCATGGGCATTAACATCAGCCTCCTGGAATTGACTTGCGTTCTGTCCCCATCTGCCCTGCCTTTCTTCTCTTACTTCTTTTTCATAATATGAACCCCACATGGAGGTTCCTCTTCTGATTCTGGCAGGCAGGCTGGCTTAGCAGACAACAGAGGATGCCTCTTGGTGACTAGATTAAGGGAGTCACAGAAATTAGAGTTCAAATCTTAGCTGGCCTTTCCAGCTGTGTGACTTGGAGCACACTAGTCTCTCTGATTCTCAACTTTTTTATCTTTTAGGTAGAGACGATACTAACCTAAGCTAATGCAGACCACGTGCTTAGTGTGGGGACTGATCCCTCCCGAGTGCTCAGTACGAGTGGCTATTCCCTGCCCTGCATGCAGTAAATTAGCCCAATTTCTGTAAACTCTGTAGGCTCTGCTTATGAGAGGACCTGCATTTTTAAATGGTTTGTCTTTGCCCAGTGAATCTGTGATTCCAGGTAGCCCAGCCTAGGTGAGATCATGGCATTCAAGTGAGCTAGAAAGCTATCATCACCACAGATTTAAGGCTTTTACTGGGAACAGTTTCCTTCTATGTTAATAGGGAGTGGTTGAGAACCCATGCCCACCACTCAGCCTCCTTGAAGTGGCAGCCAGCACAACTTCTCCAGATGTCAGTTTGCTAAGGGGGAATTCAGGAGGGTGGAGACCATACTGGGAAAATGAAGCAATGGAGAAATATTAGAGGGGTGGGAGTCAAGCACTTGGGTTCACCTCCCAGACTCACCACTGGTGGCTATGTGACCTTAGGATAATATAAGTTAGCTGGGGTCTTTAAGAGTGTGAACCTGGGATCTAAAAGTCCTGGTCTAGAAATTTGGCTTTACTACATCCTTATCTGTGTGTCTTAGGGGAAAAGGCCTCAGTTTCCTCATCTGTAAAACTTCAAAATGCATGCTATATGGAGAATGCTCTGGACAGCAGCAGACTTATAGGAAGTGCTCACAGCCATTGTTGCTCAAGTCTTGTTTTCTCCTCTGCGTAATAGGATGGTCATCTCTTGCCCTGCTACCTCAGAGGCCTGCAGAGAAACGTTTCCTAGGCTAGCTCTTCATAGGATGAAATCATCTGCCATCTCAAATAATGATTAATGCTCTTACTATATCTGCACCAGATTCTGGGTGGCTGCTTGAAAGATCATGCTTCAAATTAGCACTGACCAGTTACAAGAAAGAAAGAACACACATATGTGATTTCATTTAACTGTCCTAGTTGAGGTCATTGCCCAAGTTATGGAAACTGATCATCTTCTGCCCTCATGGCAAGTTCATATCTCCCCATTCTTCCATTTTGCTGCAATTTTCTGAAATGAGAGACCCAGTTCTCTCCAGAGGGGAGACTTTTCAGCTACCTTGGACATAGCAAAGCAGAAATAGAGGCATCCTGGGAAAGAGGCAGCTAGCTCTCTGCTGGGATGGAGTAGGAGAGGAAGGTGGGTGATATTCCTAGTCTTATGTGCCCTTCCTTCCAGGTTAGGCTGATTATAAGGCAGCTTAGATTCAGTCACCAAGCTTAACAGTGTGGGTGACAGAATAATTTAATGCTTTCTGCAGGAGGGCTAAGTAAGCCCCAGCATAGACTTTTCACAATCACTGTGCAGACAGATGGTGAATGGCTGTTCAGCATGCCATGGGCCACAGGAGGTTGGCTATCTGCTGCATGCTCTTAGCAACTGAGAAATTTCCACCCTTGTCTGATTTTTTCGAGGTCTACCTTGAGACTGAGTCACTTATCTCTGTGTCCCCTAAAACAGAGCACAGTAAGTGGTACATATGCATAAAACAAGTGTTTTTTGGTTGAAGAAATAAATGCATTTATTGGGGAGGGGGGATGAATATGGGAGAAAGAATGAATGGATTGATGGCTCCAAGGCAGAAAGCCATGAAAATAGAAGGAGAATATGCTGAAATGTCTTGGAGGTCTTGCAGTGTAGTGCAGAGGCAATGCTGCTGGATTACAGCTCATGTACTAAGCTAACTACAAGGAAACCTGCAGTATTTTGCTTCACAAGAGGATCAATTATATAGGAGCTCCAGCAACCAGGATATAAATGCTGCCATGCCCCCTCTGGTCCACCCATGTGCCAAGAATCTGAGGCAAAATCAAATGCTGGGAATAGGATGAGGGCCACAGGATGCATTGCTGACTATCACTTTCCAGTCCCAAGCCCAGGCTCCTTGTCTTCTGCCCTCCTGTCCTTTCTGCTGCACAAATGACTCACAGGTATTGGACTCACAGGCAAGGTAGCAGTCCTAGAAGTCCACTCTGTCACAAAGATGGAAAATTGAAATAATAAATGGGGACTATGAAGGGAAAACATAAAGAGGATGAGAGGGACTGTAGCTTCCACATGACTTCCCTGTTCCAGCTATACCTCCAGGGAGCCTCAGGACCCACTTCCTCTTTCCACTATTCTCACCAAGCTTTGCTTTAGTCAGTTCCCATTTTCAGCAAAGGATGCTTGAGTACCACAAGGCACAACATTCCCTCTTTTTATCTGTGTAGTTCTCAGGGTTCAAAGCATGTCTAATAAGCTAGATATTGGTGCTCTTTTTTCCTTCGAGAGAAAATAAGTAAGTCTCATAAAAATATTTGCCTTCTGCATGCCTGATCTACTCCTTTCTCTGGAAATATTTAGCCAAAACCTATTACATATCTTCTCCCTTCTCAGGGAGCTGGGTAAATGGAGTTTGCTAAGGACTTGGATGCCAGGAGAGAGAATTATGGAGGTGATGATTAGCATTCTTCCTCATCCGTGAGGCACTCTGGGCCTCCAAGAGATGAGAAACAGGCATCTAGAACTCCACAGTGGGTTAGGAAATCAAAGGT